TGTGTTTATCTATCTACGCTAATGGTCAGTCTGAAAAGAAAAGAAAAGGACAGGACTCGACAGAACATACGGTGTCCTGGGCCTACGTACTCCCTCGTGCAATGGGAAAGTCAGAGTCAACGTAGTTCGACTACCTACGTCTAGACGGGGGGAGGTTGCTCGCCAGGACATCGCGTCCTGTGCCTACGTACTTCCACACAGCATGGAAGATCAGAGCAAACGTAGTTCGACTAACTACGGCTAATCTGGGCGTTCTCACACAGCAGTGAGAAATCAAACTGGTTTTAAAGGTTCGGGAACCTATGACTACGGTCTGGTCTCAAATGCACTCGGACAAGAGAAAAGGGATAACAATCAGTCGTCAGCGGGAAAGTCTCGATCGCACAGCCGCGAGAGAACAAAAGGTTAGTTGTTAGTGTGCTCGCTAGGATATCGCATCCTATGCCTACATATTCTCGTCTGGTACGAGAAATCAGAGCAGTTGTAGTTCGGCTAACTACGACACAAGTTGTTCAAGTGCTTTTCTATTGCTGAGAAAGGGAAAAGACACCCTAAAACTATGGTTGGAAAGGGGAATCTACCTACTGTTATCATGCCTGGTTGACCATCCTAATGTCTATCATAACCCCTCCGCAGCGGAGAAGTTAGAGCTCCTAAGGGATCATTGCAACAGGACTAAACAGCAAACAGGAATCAACTGCAAAGTAAAGAAATACTGGAAATATGCATGAATGCAACAACCAAACAAACAAGGCACAAATGCCGCAAACCACAGAGGTAAGGGAGCTCAGCTCTACCAAATACCAGCAAGCAAAGCCACTCAATAACAAACAAGCAGAAGGAGGACCACCTCAACTTCTCATGCACCCAAAGCCTATCTCTAAGATGCACCTACCTCAGAAATATCTAGATGAAACCCTAAGTCTAATGCAGCACAACACCACACAAGTCAAACAACACAAAGAGAAGGCGAACCAGCCTGACAAGCTCCTATCCAAAACTTAAACCAAAACCCTGAGCAGGACCCCTAAACAACCCTGAAACAAACCCCTGATCTACCCCTGAACACAACCCTATGCAAAACCCTAAGCAAAACCCTAATCAAATATCTAAGCAGAGCCCTAACACAAGAGAAAACAAACCAGTCTCCAAGCTTCAAAACAAGCTTACCAAAGAAAGGGAGCTAAGCAGACAAACCCATAGTGCCTTCCTCAGGAAAGTACCAGGAGGTTACCACTCAGGAATCATATCCTATGCGGCTCAACAACTGTGAACGGTGTACATTCCTCCTCAAGAGAAACTAAACTCACATGAAGGCTCCGACATCATTGGATACTTGGGAAATCCTACCTGAACTAAGGGAACTAAGTGAACAGACCCATAGTGCCTTCCTCGGGAAAATACTAGGGGACTTCCACTTAGGAATCGTATCCCATGTGGCTCAACAACTGTGATAGGTTTACATTCCTCCTCAGGAGAAACTAAACTCACATGAAGGCTCCAACATCATTGGATACTTGGGAAATCCTACCTGAACTAAGGGAACTAAGTGAACAGACCCATAGTGCCTTCCTCAGGAAAGTACTAGGAGGCTTCCACTTAGGAATCATATCCCATGTGGCTCAACAACTGTGATCAGTTTACATTCCTCCTCGGGAGAAACTAAACTCACATGAAGGCTCCAACATCATTGGATACTTGAGAAAGAGGTGAGAAGAAAGAATGAAAGGCATCCATAGTACCTTCCTCAGGAAAGTACCATAAATTTCCCTCAAACTTCAGGATCTCAAACCTCACAAACAGAGAACAAGCTCCTAGACTAGGACCTCAATCCAACATCCTTGCAAGCTCCACCAAGATTTCATCCAGCCTCCATCTTCAAGAAGAAACCACAGACCCTCAAACCACAAGAAACTATCTCTGAAGTTCAACCACAGTTGAACTTCAAAGTCAGAAGCCTATCAAGACTTCTCCTATTCTCAGGCTCAAGCAAAAATAACAGAACACCCTATAAAAATCTACCAAAAATCTAGGGGAAACCTACATGGCTCTATGATCCCAAGATCAAATCTCAAAGCCTAAGTCAACTTCTAAGGCTACTAAACAGTCCCTAATGTATGAATGGTCAAAGGTTACCAACAAGTGATGAGGTCTCTATTCTCTAACCCTAAAACAATATCCATCAATCTCTAAAAAATCCACTAAAATCCTATGGGGAACATGCATTAGTCTAGTACAACATACTAAAAAACTAGAGCTAAATTCAATACCAATCAAGAGAAATAAAATCAGCAAGGCAGACACACCTCAAACCAATTATTCCATATCAATTAAAATGCAAAATGCAAAATAAAAAAATAAAATGCATGATCAAATTAGTATTTTTGCCTTATAAAATTCTACATTGAAATATGAATCTACAGAAAAAAGAAGGGAATTATTTGGACCATCCTGCTATTTTTTATGCATTTTCTTCTAACATGAATAAAATGAAAAAACATTAAAACAAATAAAACAAAAAGGGGGGGGGCGAATAGCACTAATCTCAGTTGCTTTCCAATTGGGCCCAGACAGAGGGGGGCGCGCATAGCAAATAGGGCAAAGCCCAATCCACAATCCAATCTGTCTTCTCACACGAAGGGGGGGATACGAGTAAACGGGATGATATGAGCAAAACGAACTTGGGCTTGGGCCCAACCCAAACCCTAATCCCAGTAATCAAACCACAAAACCAACTTCTTCTCTCCCCAAACCCGTCTACTGTTCACCATCTAAACCCTAACTTCGCCGTCTGCAAACTTTTCTCTCTCAATCCAACCTTACCCCAAATCTGAACTACCTAATCTAAATCCCCCAAAAACCTCCACTTCAAAACCCTAAACACAACCTAAATTCAAGTTCAACTAAGATGAATCTCTATACTCAACAATCAAAGAAGAAAAACGTGAACAAGGATCGAAGGATAATACCTGGATTTGGAATACGAACGACTCAGGGAGTTCTTGAGGCTTGTTGAAGAACTTGAAGACGTTCTGGAGATTTGCTGAAGATTGATGACGCGAAGAACAACTCTTAGTGATGAACAGTGATGAGATCTTGATGAAGATCTTACAGATCTTGGAATTAACGAATCTTGTACGGATCTGGTGAAATATTGGGTGATTGTGGTTGAAGGTTGATCAGAGGAGGACTTGCATGTTCTTGATGATGATGCGTGGTGATTTCTGGAAAAGGTACTGGAGAATCTATGGAGGTAGAGGATGATCGTTGATGATCGGAGGGAGGTGAACAAGATCGAAGAACAAATCTGGAAATTATGAAGGAGATGAAAGTTGATTTCTGGAGATTGATGATGCGAAGAATCGCTGGGAAAATGATGAACAAGATGAAGAATCTGGGAAAATGGATGAGTTCGTATGAATTTTCCGGTCACGGTTGAGTTTTCCGGCGACCGTTGATGAAGGTGGACGGAGGAGGAAGGGGGAGAACGAAGTGTTTGGACGAATTCTGGAGTTTTTGCAGTTTCCGGCGGGTTAGACGGCGGCCGGAATTGGTTGGAGGTGGCCGGAAGGAGTTGGGGACGGTGGCCTGAGAGTTTGCATGCCGGCCGGTGGAATTTCCGGCGAAGGATGACGACGGGACAAGTGTTAAAGGGGAGGTCAGGGGTGAGGACACGCGTGAGTGGGAGAGGGTTGCATGTGGCACACGTGGCCTGAGAGAGAGATAGTGGGGTCTGAGCGTGGCAGGACGTGGGGTCCTCTGGTGTGAACGCGTGGCCATTTATAGGGTTGACATGTGTCACGTGCAATCTATGGACTGAAGAAAAAAATGGACAAAAACGGTTGGGCCTCCAAAAATCTGCTGGGCCCACGAAAAAAAACCAATTGGACCAAAAATCTGACTTAACAAGTTATTAACCCTAATTAAAACTAATCAGAAATTAAACCTAATTAACTAATGGTTAAACTACAACTAAAATTAAATTGTAATTAAATCTAAATGACAATTAACTATCCTAATTAATTCTAACAAATTCAATTAAATTCTAAACAAAAGATTAAATCTTAATTAAATCTAAAAAAATGATTAAAATCTAATTAACCTATATTAAACTAAAACTATTAAAACTCTAATAACCTCTATTTAATGAAAAAGGACCATTATTTTCTTATTATCTAGATTAAAGTCTATGTCTAAAAATAAAACCCTAATGACTCCTATTATCAAAAAAATTCATTAAAACTCTACTACTTCTAATAAAATCTATATTATTTATTCTATAAGAAAATCTATTAAAATCCTATTTAAAACTAATAAAAGAAAAATCTATTAAAAGATTAAATCTATATTAAAACAAACTCTATTTATTTCTACTTAAAAAACTATTAAAATCCTATTAAATCTCTAATAAAATCTATACCATTTATTTAAAACTATTTAAAAAAGCTATTAACCTATATAAAAAACTATTAAATTCTAAAAAATGATTTAAAGCTATTAAAATATAAAAAACCTCTTTAAATTCTAAAAAAAATCTATAAAGCCTATTAAAAATCCTCAAAAGGCTATTAAACCCTAAAAAATGCAAACAAATGCAAATGACCAACATAAAAGAGCGTGCGACCAGATTAAAGCAAACAGTAAACCCCCGGGCATCAGAATATCCCAAAAACCACCATGTAAGCTGAAAACACCGAGAAGCGCACAATTTCCCGAAAATAAAACCCTGATGATCTAGACTGGATTTGAAATATCCGGTAGATGAAAACCAAGCTGTAACTCTGATATCCTCCGTCTGTGCACAAATGTCGTGCATCTGATATGTGAATATGAATTTAAACCATGAACCAGATAGGAGAACCGGTTGGTCAAATTTTAGGGTGCAACAGGCTTCTCCATTTTTTAGTTTGTATTTTTCTTTATTTCTGTCTACTTTTGGGGATGGGGAGGGTTCCTTGTGTATTTTGTATATGCGACTAATCCAATGGTTTCACAGGATTATGGAATCAATTGATGATGTTCTTAAGCTTTCTCAAGTATACAGCCAAAAGGTGTCTGAACCAGGAGTTGTTCTTGTTGAGTTTGTCTTCTCAATTTTATGGCAGTTACTTGAAGCATCTTTAGATGATGAAAGGTTATTAGATCATATTCCAGAGATTAAGCCAAGATGGCTAAGCAAATCAGATGATATGGATATTGATGAGCCTGTCAGCAACAATAAAATGGATACCCAGCAGAAGGAGAGGTTGCAGAGGGGAAATACAACGTTGGCTATTGAGATCATTGTAGAATTTTTGCAGAATAAAATGACATCAAGGCTTCTTTCCTTAGTTCATCGAAACATGTAAGAACCTAATTCAGATATACTTTGCTTCAAAGATGTAAACTGTCTGAATACTTATTTGAGCCAACCTCAATTTAGATTTTGAAACCTTCAATGAAGAATGTTATCTTTTGTAGGCCATTACACTGGGGATATTTCAATTACCAAATGCAGCTGCTTGCATCAAACTCTTCAATTTTGAGGAATTCGAAACATAATGCAGACACCCTTTTATCTTTGATGGAAAATATCCGCAGCAATACAAAATTTAAGCTGGAGTCTATTGTAGGCATACCTTCTGGTTCTCAAATATCTTTTGCTGGTCAATCTTATGGTAGTAGTTGGTCTTCATTCTGGCTTTCTATTGATCTTATACTTGAAGATGCTTTGGATGGAGGGCAAGTAGCAGCTTTTAGTGCTATTGAAATTATCACTGGTATGAATATATGGTTGGTTTTTTATTTTAAATCATAATGTTGGTGAAGTTCCTCCACAAATCATAGAATCAAATTTGTTAGAGTGAATAGGTAGAATAGAGAAACTCATTTTTGAGTTATAACTAACTTTTGGAATTCTGAAAATTGGTTAGTTACAATTGAGAACTGTTTTGCTTTTATACTTAGCAAAAGAGTTGACATGCCATAGCAGGTAGTTCATAGTACCTTCAAGCTGACAAGTGTCAATCTTGAGGTTAATACATTTGCTAATAACATTAAAAGGTAACAACTTTGAGTTTGTGCTTGAGAGCCAAGAACCTAGTGGAAGGTAAGGCTTTGTAAGAACATCTGCCCAGTGGTCAGTACCAAGAACCTGAAGAAGCTTAGCCATAACCTCTCTCAAACAAAGAAGAGATCTACCTCCATGTGTTTGATCCTGGAGTGCATAACAGGACTGTGTGCCAATAACACTGTTGACTTATTATCACACAATATGGTGGGAACTGTGGTTGAGATGCTCAGCTCTTTAAAGAGTGTTTGGATCCACAAGAGGTCTGCAGTGACCTGAACAAGGATTCTGTACTCAGCCTCAGTGTTGGACCTAGCAACTACAGGTTGCTTCTTGGACCACCAAGAAATAAGATTAAGGACAAAGTAGATAACAGCTCCTGAAGTACTTCTATCAACTGGGTCAGAGGCCCAATCAGAATCATAAAAGACTTGGATAGATGGAGGAGATGAAAAGGAGAGGGGAGTCAGGTGAAGACCATGACAGAGGGTGCCTTTGAGATACCTTAGGATTCTTTTAACAACCACCTAGTGTGCCTCAAGTGGATGAGCCATGAACTAGCACACTTTATTGACTGAATAAGAGATGTCAGGTCTTGTGATGGTGGCATACTGGAGAGCCCCAACCACATACCTATACAGAAAGGGGTCAGACATGACAGTAGACCCAATTTTGGTCAATTTGCAAGAGGTCTGCATAGGAGTGACAACAAAGCTGGCTTCCAACATGTTGGTTTTGTGGAGAAGTTTTCTGATATATTTAGTTTGAGTAAGGAGCAAACAGACCTATGGGAGCAAACATTTTAACCTCTATTCCTAGAAAAGAAATCCAAGACACCAAGTTGTTTGAGAGAAAATGAGGCATTGAGTTTGGTAATAATAGTGTGCAACAGTGAAGTGGAACTGTCTGTGATGATAATATCATCCACATAAACTAGGATATAGATGGTGTTTTCTTGAGAGACATAAGTGAAAAGTGAGGGGTCACACTTGCTAGCCTTGAACCCAAGTTGAAGGAGTGCAGTTTAAAGTCTCTCAAACCACAACCCAGGGGCTTGTTTAAAGTCATAAAGGGTCTTATTAAGTTTGCAAACTAGAGAAGGATTAGAACTCTCAAACCCCTTAGGCTGCTCCATATAGACTTCCTCATGGAGAAGACCATTGAGGAAAGCATTGTTAACATCCAATTGTTGAATAGACCACTTATTACTGATTGTTCGAACTGCAGTAAAGCGGCAAGAAGCAAAAATTTAATTTTGAAGGAATTTCCTCCGGGATTTATATCGTCTCCACAAGGATCGGCGCGAGAGAAAGAACGCCGTTCAACGGTCTCTATATTTCTAAATTTGTTATGCAAAAGTTTTAGTTAAAAGGTTCAAGGAACCATAAATAAAGACGGAAAATATAAAGTAAAGATTGAAATATAAACGGGGCCTTGTTGGGATTGGATCTCATCAATTGATAACACATGCATTCTTCTAATCATGTTATAAACAACTCAGATGTTTGTCTAATATCATCACGTATCACCCACAACAGAGGTTGTGTCTAACGCAAAGTCGAGAGGCTAACCGTATTGTCTCATCGATGATATCTAACACGGAGTATTAAGAACTGATACTCACGTGAATTTTCTACTTAAATCTATGTCCAGAGTTTAGACCCAACAAATATTACTATAACATCCATATCAAATTAATGATTTGATTCATATATAACGCCATGATCAGAATACGCACACATGATTAACCCTTTTTACATGCATTCACCTAATCTGGCAAATGTATGTGAACATCGTTCTTTATCACTATTATCACACATCCTCGCAATACCGTTTGTCAAGCATTATCGCGGTCTTTACCGTATTGATCCTACTCATTCTACTCATGCTACTTAATCAACACAATAAAATAAATGTGATGCAAATGAATATCAACTCATAAAACCATGTCAAAAGTTTGCTCATTGATAGATGAAAATTTTCGATCAAAGATTTGAAATGGTTTTGTCAAGACCCACAAATAAGAAATCAAAGACAATCAACAATAGAGAATCAAAACTCGTTCACAATACATAAATTAGATGAAATACATAAGGTATTAAAAGATTACATTCAAACCCAACAAGAGATTGAAGATCTTACCTTATCCCCTTTATGATTTGTGTTTCTCTAAATATGCTTTGAAAATGAAGAGAGAAAAGTCCTGATCCTAAAAATATAACATATGTTTCTAAAAAGTAAGAAAAGTACTTATATAATATTCACAAAATCTGTCATGTTCGCACTGCGAACAACCTATTCGCCTAGTGAAGTCTCCTTTTTGGCAATTGAAGTGCCTCAGAAACAGTTAAGCCACCCTTATAAAATATATGAGTTCGCCGTGCGAGCAATTCTTCGCACTGCGAACTACCTCGCAATAAGTTCGCACAACAGGGTCCTTTAGCTACCGACTTCCAAGGTTTCCTCCTCGCTGGGACCTCGTCGCTACTTCGCCCAACAAACATTCGCTGGCTGTTCGCTACTGTTCGCCCAGCGAACGTTGCAGAATCTTAACATTTCTTTTCCTTTCTTGTCCAATCTTTTGTGTCTTACTCATTGATGTCTTATGCCTAATTGCTGCACAATAACACACACATTAAGGAATCCAAAGGTATTTGTAATATAATTGAAGAATTACACAAGAATATGAATTACATCTAAGAAAACATGAGAATTGAGTTGAAAAGTGTCAAGAAAGATGGTTCATTTTAAGTCAAAATTTGCACTTAATAGTGATGACTATGGATAAAATGAGTCTGATTGTGACTAGTTTAACCACAGGTGAGAAAGTCTCAATAAAGTCAAAACCAAATCTTTGATGGAAGCCTTTAGCTACAAGTCTGGCCTTGTATTTGTTAATGGTACCATCAGGTTCTGCTTAAGCCTGAAGATCCATTTACACCCTATGACTTGTTTTTGAGTAGGCAAAGACACAAGAGTCCAGTTGTTATTATGAATGAGAGCATCAAATTCTGAAAAGGGACCTGAAATTTAAGGGAGACAGAATGGAATCTATTGATAAGATAGACTGCATTGGAGAAGGCATAATTCCAATAGGTAAAAGGAAGGGATGCCTGACTAAGCAAGATAAGCTATATTTCAACTATATGCCTATGCTTCCTCTTAACCACCCCATTTTGATGGTAGGTGTAAGGACAAATGACTTTGTGGAGAATGCCATGTTCAATAAGAAAACTAGTGAAAGGCATAAACTCACCACCCCAGTCAGATTAAACAACCTTGATAGGAAGACCATGTTGTAATTCAACCATGGTTTTAAACTGTTTAAAAATTTAATTGTTTCAGACTTGTTTTTAAGTAAGTAAATCCAATTAAATTTGGAATAAACATAAACAAATGGCATGTAATATTTAAACCTTAAGGTAGAGACATAAGGAGAGGGTCCTCAGAGAGGTCACTAAATCAATTCTAAAGGAGAAGTATAGATGGTATGAGGGAGGTGAATGTAACCTATGAGATTTATCCATACAACATATGCTGAACAAAACATGTGAACATCTTTATTAATGAAAGGAACATTACAATCATGTAAAACATGCTTAAGGGCTTGAGGATTAAGATGCCCTGATGGAGAGAAGAAGACACAGTTGGGCCTGGACTCTAACATCAGGCCCAAGATATGGAGAGTGTATGAGAGGAGGCGTGGGAAAGCAAGAGAGAGAAAAGAGGAGGAAAACGCGTGTGCATGGGATGCATGAGGAGTGAGGTCAGCTGAGTATATTAAGACAGTTAGAGGAGAGAGAATAGCTAGCAAAGTATTCTGTTAGAATGGATTCACTCTTGTGAATTGAGGCCTTGTGGCTATAGGGAATTGATAGTCTGTTATCAATTCACGTTACCTATTATTACTATCTACCATTACTATTTCTTGTTGCTTGTAATTGTTACTCATCATATAAACAATTACCTTTGCTCCTTTGTTCTTAATCTGCTATTTACTGTTTCATTAACCCATCATGCCCTAACCTCAAATGTCATAGGTGATGAGTACTAGTAGACATAGAAACATAATTATACTAGGATTAAGCTGATTGGAACACACTGAGACATACAAGTGTTGAGTCTGGATCCCATTATTGGCTAAAGTGAGAGAAGGAAACTCATAGAGTCCATCTTTGTCAACCTGACCTCTAAGAAGCTCATCATTGGTGACCTGAGAATGGACATGACAAGTTTCAGCAGTGAAAAGAAAATACACATGGTTGTTACGACAAAATTGGCTAACACTTATGAGGCTCTTGGTAGTGGCAGGGATTAGTAATAAATTGTGAAAGGTGAGAGGTGTGTGAGGCGAAAACACTAGAGCCTGAAGAATGTATTTGCAAGCCTTGGCCATTTCCCATGAAGATTTAATCAGGGCTTTCAAAAGGAGTGATCTGTTGAAGGTTTTTAAAATCATTAGTAACATGAAATGAGGCCCCTGAGTAAGGATACCAAGATGCAGAGGCAGTTGGTGCAGAGTGCGCAATGAAAGCACTAGGAGGCTCAGAGAAGCTTGCTATAGGCCATGGAGAGGGAAGTCTTGTCCAAACATTAGAAGGAGAAGGACCATAACCAAAAGTGGGGGGAGAAGTCCAGGGTCCATGAGAGTAAGGATGTCCAGTAGAGGCCTGAGAAGCATAATTCTGATTGAACCTATACCAACAGGAGAGTGCAGTGTGACCAAACTTGACACTGAACTGTAGAACCATTAAACTCATTTTTTAGTTATAACTAACTTTTGGATTTCTGAAAATTAGTTAGTTACAATTAAGAACTATTTTGCTTTTATACTTAGAAAAATAGGTGACCTACGATAGCAGGTAGTCCATACTTTCAAGCTGACAAGAGTCAGTCTTGAGGTTAAACCCAAGAATAAAAGCCTGTAAAATTAAAATTCAATTAATACAACAATGTTTTCTAAGTTGCCTACTTCACAAACATCCTTCGTTAAAATCCACAGATAATAATCAATCAACTTCTTTACCAAACCCAAACCCCAGTATACCCAAATATCATATCATATACACAAATATTGTAGTATACCATCTCTGTTTTTCTAGCTGACAGCTTTCACATATAAATCTCTCCAAATTTTATTTTTAAGTGGTGGAGGACGATAGCTATTAGCTTCCACATGCATGCTCAATCTCACTGACTAGCCTTTATATATTCTTTGCATCTCAAACTTTAAGAACAAGTCAGATCACCTCATTTATTTTATTTGACTTCATGTTATCTCATTAAATTTATCAGTCCACTAATGTTTTTCACACTAATTACTCCTCATTTATAAAATGATATTTTACTTACACGAACAAACTCTTTTTGATTTATAAATGAGACTCTTTAAACTCATCACTAATGTTTTTTTTACACTAATTACTCCTCATTTATAATATGATGGTTTACTTGCACGAACAAACTCTTTTTAATTTATAAATGTCAGAAATCTTTTCGAGCAAATAATCCAGATTTTAGATGTTACTGCATTTGGAATGGGGACAATTTCTTGACCAACTCTAGCACTAAATCAGATTACTTGATGCTATTCCGACTCAAACGATTGTACATGGAATTTTCTTCCACCAAGTCTGACACGGCCAAACATACTGTCTCATCACATTTTTTCCTTCCGCCCAAGATGCCATCCTTTGGTTGTCATGGAGAGAGATGGTAGACTATGCACTGTGAAGTAATTTGAACAATATTTATCATAGTGATTTGAGTTTAGGATTAAGACTAGCTTTTGCACTCAGCAGAAATGTTCTGAACTTTAACTTCCTTTAATTAATTTCTTGCCTTCCTTTTCTTCTAGTTTTTTTTAATATCTGCTTTTTTTCCTTTCCTCTGATTCTATACGCTAAGATGTTAATGATACATGTAGACTCTATATCTTCACTATTAATTTACACATTAAATAAAAACAATTTACAAAGCTTACTAAATTTCTGATTGAGTCAGATGGAGAGTTATTAAAACTGATACTCCCCTGCCTAATAAGACTCTCTCTTTCTATTTTCATACAATAGATTCCCGAATCATGCCAAACTGCTCAAAGCAGCAACAGTTTTCTCTACTCTGGAAGATGAAAAAGAAGAAAAAAATTAAACCATAAATGGGTTTGAGACATGGAAAGATATAAAGCGATAGTGGAAATTACGTAATCAAATAACCTAATAACAAATAGAAGTGCTTTTATTACTTTCAGTTAAAAAATGGTGAGAAGTAAATGTGAACAGTGATATCAATTTATTCCAAGTGAGGATACGACATGCTCACTTGGAAGAAGAAAAAAATTCAAATGGCATCTTTTGAGCGGGAGTAGTAAATAATACTTCAAAATAGATAACCCTTTTTTTTTCTTTTTTTTTCTTTGTTTATTTACGAACCAATAGTATTTATTTGATATTCTTATTGTAGGTTTGGTAAAGATTTTACACAGTGTTAATGGCTCTATGTGGCAGAATACATTTTTGGGTTTATGGTCTGCAGCGCTGCGGTTGGTTCAAAGGGTAGGTATTGTTCAACAAAAGGGAAGGGAGAGCTAATGAATTCTCTAAGAAAAATTACTTGATTGATTTATCCTTGTCTGTGATATATAGTCCAACATCAATGAGGAAAGACCGTGTTGCATATCATTTACAAATTGCTTTGTCTGTGTAGCCACATGTAGTGTAGAAATATGTCATATTTCATTGTGTTTGGAACTCTTACATGTGAAGTATAAATAGAATACAATAGGCTGAAAGCTGTACCGTAATTTACTAATAAATAGAGAAAATAATTTTCTATAATTGTTGCTACCCAAATAAAGAAATAATAATAATAATAGATAATAATTCTATTTACACCACTGTTTTGTAACAACTTGACAAATCAAAATCAAATGATTATGATTTGATGTGTGCTAATCTTCAACACTCCTCAACGATGGTAGATGTATATTATACCCAGATTATATTTTATATTTTCGTAAGTATTTCTTAGAAGAGTCTTGGTTAAGATATCTGCAGTTTGCTTGTATGATGGAACATGATCAATACTAATAATCTTAGGATCAATTTTTTCTTTAATGAAGTGTCCGTCAATTTCCACATGTTTTTTTCTATTATGTTGAACTGGGTTCTTTGCAATACTTATAGCAGCTTTGTTATCACATAGTAACTTCACAGTAGGGTTCACATGAATTTTGATTTCATCTAGCATGCTCTTAAGCCACATTCCTTCACAAATACCTAGGGCCATAGCTCTAAATTCTGCTTCTGCACTTCTCCTCGCCACTACAGATTGTTTCTTCCTTCTCCAAGTTACTAAGTTCTCCCACACAAATGAACAATAGCCTGTAGTCGATTTTCTATCTGTGGAGCACCCTGCCCAATCTAAATCTGTATAAACTTCAATGTCCCTGTTTGAATTCTTCTTGAAGTAGAGACCTCGGCCTGGTGTGCCTTTGAGGTATTGGAGGATTCTATTCGCCATTTTCATGTTGGACTAAGTTGGAGTTGACATGTAGCGACTAGCCATGCTTACCGTGAACCCAATGTCGAGCCTAGTGTTAGATAGGTAGATTAGTTTCACAACTAGACTTTGATATCTATCTTTGTCGGCTGGTGGGCTTTCATCTTCTCTTCCTTTTATTTGTTCTATTGGTGTATTAGCTGCCCTACAACTAAACATTCCAGTTTCTTGAAGTAAGTCAAGGGTGTATTTCCCTTGTGATACATAGATGTCATTCTTTGTTCGAGCAACTTCCATTCCTAAAAAAATACTTAAGCTACCTTGCACCCAAACATTCCAGTTTCTTGAAGTAAGTCAAAGGTGTATTTCCTTTGTGATACATAGATGCCATTCTTTGTTCGAGCAACTTCCATTCCTAAAGAAATACTTAAGTTGTCACAAGTCCTTAACTTCAAATTCCTTTGCCAAGAGTCCCTTTAAATGATCAATTTGATCATAATCATTTCCTGTAATGACGATGTCATCAACATAAACAATGAACAAAGCTTCCTTTCCTTCCATCGAGTGTTTAACAAACATAGCGTGATCTGATTGGCATTGGTTGAACCCGTCTTTCTTGACAACTCAAGTCAATCTATCAAACCACGCCCTTGGAGACTGCTTGAGGCCATAAAGAGATTTTCGGAGCCTGCACACCATATTTGCGGTGCTGGATGATTCAAGTTCAGGAGGAATCTGCATATAAACTTCCTCTTCTAGGTCACCATTTAAGAAGGCATTCTTGATGTCTAGTTGATGGAGTGACCAATCTAAATTTGCAGTAAAAGAGAGAATAACTCTAACTGAGTTTAGTTTGACCATCGGTGCAAAAGTCTCTTCATAGTCTACTCCATACGATTGAGTGAATCCCTTTGCTACAAGTCGAGCTTTGTACAGATTTATACTCCCATCTGCATTATACTTCATGGAGAATATCCATTTTCATCCTACCGACTTCTTCCCTGTAGGTAGGCTTGTGATCTCCCAAGTGTCATTCTTTATTAAGGCCTGAACCTCTTTAGTTACGGCTGCTGCCCATTCAGAATTTTGGATTGCCTCATGATTGTGCTTGGAATGTGTGTATTGTCAAGAGCTGTTACAAAAGTCTTGTAACTCTGGGACAATTTTCCATAATATGCAAATCTTTCAATGGGATGTTTAGTACACGATCTTACATTTTTTCTCAAGGCAATAGGAATATCAATATCATCAACATTCAGAGTTAGGAGCAGTATTACCCGAGAGAACACCATTTTCTAGAGTCTTTGAGGTTTCTTGGTTCTGCCTTGGAATTGTGCAAGACTCTATTTCCTTCTTGCTCTTTTTGGAGTACACTTTCATGTTGTTTCTTGGTGCAGTTTCTGTTGTAGGGGTTACAGTTTCTACTGCAATATCCTCTGCATTTTCTACTGCAATATCTTCTGCGTTTTCTGATGTAATCTCTTCTGGTCCACGAGTAGGTTCTGCATTTTCTGTTGCATTTTCTGTTGGTTCAGGTGTAGGTTCTGATGCCTCTACAATGAGTTTGGGTTTAGTTAGCTCAAGTTTTAAAAGTTGGGATTCTATCACTTCAACTGAATATGTGTTCTTCCCGTGAATGCCAACTTTGGGGTAATATGGTTGATTCTCAAAAAAGGTTACATCCATGGTGTGGTAGAATTTTTTGTTTTGAGGTGAATAACATGTATCTCTTTTGGTGAGGAGAGTAGCCGAGGAATATGCATTTAATGGATTTTGGGTCAAGTTTACTGCGTTGGAGATCAAGATTATGGACAAAGGTTGTACATCCAAATTTTTTCAAAGAAATAAATGTAAGGATACGACTGGTTGGGTATAAGGTTTGGAGAGTGGAATAGGGCGTATGAAAGTTAAGGATCCGGGAAGGCATTCTGTTTATAAGATAGGTTGCAGAGAGGACAGCTTCTCCCCAAAACTGATTAGGTACATTTGTAGCTAACATGAGAGATCAGATTACTTCTAGGAGGTGTCTATTCTTTCTCTCGGAAACCCCGTTCTGCTGAGGTGTATCCACACATGAGGTTTGGTGTATTATTCCGTGTTGCTGAAAGTATGAGTTTAGTGCAAAATTATAGTACTCACGATCATTATCACTCCTAAGCACTCTAATTTTGCTTTGAAATTGTGTTTGCACCATGGTATGGAAACATTCAAATATCCTACCAACTTCCGATTTGTCTTTCATAAGGTAGACCCAAGTGATCCGTCTGTAGTCATCAATAAAAGTGAAAAACCATCTTGATCCGATTACATTTCTGACCAGCGATGGCTCCATACATCACTATAAATAATAGAAAAAGGTTGGGAAGGTTTATAGGGTTGAGGTGGGTGGGGGCTACGTGTATGTTTGGACAATTGACAAATTTCACATTGAAACAACTTCTGATTTTTATTGAATAATTTAGGAAGCATTTCTTTCAAGTACATAAAATTTGGGTGGCCTAGTCTATAGTGCCACAACATTGCAGAATTTTCACTATATTCAGAAACTACAACGCAAGAGGTTGCCTCGGATTCTGGTTTCGATGTTTCAGCCTGAAGGATATAGAGTCCAACACATTCTTTAGCATTGCCAATCGTCCTCCCCGACTCCAAAATCTGAAATTCACACAGGTTAGGGAAAAATTTAGTAATGCACTTCAAATCCTTTGTAAGTTTAATGATGGACAATAGGTTGCAATCAAGTTTAGGCACATAGAATACTGAGCTAAGAGAAATATTTCGTGAAATAATGACAGAACCTTTACCCATGACCTTATACAGGATACCATCAACAATTCGAACAGTCAAATTATTTTGGCATGGAGAATAGCTATCAAAGACAGCCAAGTCTCCAGTCATGTGATCAGATGTTCCTGGGTCAATAATCCATGAATTTTGTTTTCCCTTGCTAGTGTTTAGAGCATGCAAAAAATTACCTTTTTGTGCCACAGTAGCTGTACCAATTGTTTGTTGAAGCATTTTTTGTAAGGCTTCCATTTGCTCCTTGCTGAATGGTGATGAGTGGGAATTTACCTCAACTGTGTTCCCTCTGTTGTCCCGGTCTTTGGTCCATTTTAGCTCTGATAGCTTTCCATGAATGATCCAGCATGTGTCCTTGGTATGGCCTGGTTTCTTGCAGTTGACACACCAAGGTCGGGTTTTCTTTTGGAAAGAACGCTGATCTCCCTTTGCTGCCATTGCAGATCCCTCTATAGATGGGGCTGCACTGGATTTTCCAAGCATCACTTTTCTCCTGCTCTCCTCTCTTCGTATTTCCGAGAAAGCTTCTCGAATTTTTGGAAAGAATTTTGGTTACAAGGGTTCTCTCACGAACTTCATCAAGTTCCATGTTCAAACCTAATAGAAATTTGTAGACTCTATCTTTCTCCACCAATTCTTTGTACTTCTTTTTATCCTCTGTGCAGCTCCATTCATCTTTATCATATACATCCAGTTGCTGCCAGTGACGATTGAGAGTATTAAAATACTTTGTGACTGAGCAGTCATCTTGACGTAAATCATGGAGTATGCTCTTGATTTTAATAATTGTAGATGTATTGTCGACATTAGAGTAGGTTTATTTTACGGTATCCCACATCTCTTTGGCAGTGTCATAGTACATGAAATTTTCTCCAATTTCATTTGTCATGGTGTTTAGCAGCCATGACATTACTAGATTGTTTTCTAGTTGCCACTTTCCGAGGTTGGAATCCTCCTCTTTTGGACACTTGGAGTCTTCTGTGATATAACCTTCCTTCCCTTTTCCTTGGAGGTAGATTTTGACTGAGTGCACCCATTGATTGTAATTCTGGCCATTCAATTTGTAACCAGTAATAGGAAGAGCATGTCCTTCAGCCAAATTGTTAGCTGAATTTTCTGCTTTAGTATCTGTCATGAGTGGTGCTCAAGGTTTAGAAATGGTTCAGATCTTGTGCTCCGATACCATGTAGAAATATGTTGTATATTTCATTGTGTTTGAAACTGTTACATGTGAGATATAAATAGAATATAATAGACTGAAAGCTGGATCCTAATTTGCTAATAAACGGAGAAAACAACTTCTTATAATTGCTATCTAAATAAGAAAATAGTAATAATAGATAATAATTTTAATTACATTGTTCTGTAACAACTTGACAAATCAGAATCAAATGATTATGATTTGATGTGTGCTAATCTTCAGAATCAAATGATTATGATTTGATGTGTGCTAATCTTCAGAATCAAATGATTATGATTTGATGTGTGCTAATCTTTAACATGTAGTTTTACATTTAGTTGATCAACTAATTCTTTATTACCCGTGTTATTTTAGGAAAGAGATTCAAAACCAGGCCCTATACCTCGTCTTGATACTTGCATGTGTTTGTTATTGAGCATTACAACACATGTGGTCGCAAATATTATTGAAGAAGAAGAAAGTGAATTGATTGAAGAAGCTGAACGTGTCCCTACAAATCAAGGAAAAATTGAACAGATTCGGGGGAAGCGTCGCGGGGAATTGATTGCTAGTTTACAGTTATTGGGTAATTCTCAGTATTTGCTTACTCCACCTCAAACTGTTCTCATGGAAGCCAATCAAGCTGCTGTAAAGGCTACTAAGTTTGTATCACAAAACCCTGTGGGTACTGGGCACTTAGAATCATTGACCATGGATGACTTGCCTACGAACTGTTGTGAGTAGTTTCTTTACTGTGCTAATAATCTGTAGTTTCATGTTGTTTGAAGAATTTGCGCTTCTGATTAATGTTACCTTTTTATCAGTAGTTTTTAAATGAGGCAGTGTGCGATATTGGAGTGAATCAAAGTTAAAATAATAAAAAGGATCTATTGAAAAAGAGAAAATATGACGGGTTAAGAAACTGTTTACAAATTTTTGGAATGAAGGCCAGTCAATTTTTGCTTTTCTAAACTCTCACATCTGCTCTTCTCACAATTTTAGTCGTAAATAACTTTGCTCGTTGCACTTTCACCCTTACTACTATGAAATTAAATCATATTTTTATTTTCAAACGATGCTCTTTTTTCCTTTTTGTCCAACTGCTTCAAATTATAAATCTACTATTTCATAAAAGTCTGTGCATGTTTGTTTAAAGCCTCTTTGGTGTACAAGTGATATTGTCGATTTTTTCTCTTGCAGCTGGAAACTTACTGCATCTAATTGTTGAGGCCTGTATTGCAAGAAATATACTCGACACATCAGCATATTATTGGCCTGGCTATGTGAATCCCCGCAGCAATCAAATTCCTTCTAGCATTTCTAACCATGTGGATGGCTGGTCTTCATTGATGAAGGGATCAAAGTTAACTCCTGGATTAGTTGATGTCTTAACAGAAACTCCTGCTTCCAGGTAGGCCGATGACTTGTATCATTCCTATACTGTACCACCAACACTTGCCTCTTATAAATGGTTTTAGAAGGGAAAGATTTGGGGAAGGTGATTGGTTAAAGAAACTATTGATGATGGAAGGTTTCTTTTTCTTTTTATTTTCTCAAATAGTTTTTATCTCCCGAATGCTCTTTTTTCAATACTGTCAAAGTGACAGTGACCTAGGATATTAGCTCCTTATTGCTAACTACTTCATCTACTCCATTGTTCTCTTTTTAACTTGATTTTTTTTTCTACTACTACTCACAAGCTCATATATATATATATATATATATATATATATATATATATATATATATATATATATATATATATATATATATATATATATATATATATATATATGGCTTTGAATCATTGACTTTGAGTTTCGTTATTCTTCCAGCAAATCATGGAAAAACCTTGTTTTTTGCCATTCACGCTGCTGACCTAAATACTGTTAGTACATAGTTCAGCGGTAGGAGTATTTCATGTAGTTTTATTTGTAACTTTTCTTTAATTATTTTGGTGGTTTAGGATCTAACAGTTGACTTCTTGATATTATCATTCTTTAAGGCCGTTTCGTTTTCTTTTCAAAATAAGGCTCCAAAATTTATTAAAGAGAAGGAACTACAAAAAGAGGGGACTAGGCCAAGACCTATTCAAACTGAAATGAACCTAAAAAAAGGAAAATCAAGCCTATATTTTACAAAGTCATTTCTAATATCCAAAGGAATGAAGTAAAAAGATGTGAGAGAATAGAGGTGAGACCTATAATTGCAAAGTAATCTGCACAACTATTTTCTTCTTTATATATGTGTGAAATAAAAAAGGACATATGTTCAATGGCTCCAATGGTTTCTTAGTTGCCAAGGCATCATATTAGATTTCGAAAAGGCTTAAACAACCAAAAGAGAATCAGTTTCAACCCTTAGGCCATGATCTATCCCTAGCTATCTTTATAGCTCTAAGGAATGCACTAAATCCAGCAAGAAAGGAAGATTTCCAAGTGTAGGTTCAGCAAATGCAAATAAGAAATCACCTTTACTGTTCCTGAAAAATCCCACTACAACCGGATGTGGGAGAGTCTTGAATGAAAGCACCATCACAATTGCACTTAAGATAATCAAGAATTGGAGGATTCTAAATAACCTCCTTGATTAAGGGAGTCCTTGGAGGGTGGATATTAACTTTAAAGGCTGTTAAACATGGTTGGGCCTAACTCAACCCTACAAAACCGGCTGGTAGAGTGAGGATTGCCCCCACTTATACACATGTTCATGCCATATATTGTCCGATGTGGGACTCTTAACACCCTCCCTCATGCTCAGGACTAGACAACTAAAGCGTGAAAATAAATGGTAGGTGGCCCGATAGTGGAAACCATAGAAGGTGGCCCACCGGATCTTAAACGAGGCCCTGATACCATGTGAAGAAACGTGGTTGGGCCTAACTCAACCCTACAAAACCGGCTGGTAGAGTGAGGATTTCCCCCGCTTATAAACACATGTCCATGCCATATATTGTCCGATGTGAGACTCTTAACAAAGGCTTTGATGATCTTGAAATCATGCATGGAGGAAGAAGATGTTAGAAGTGAATGATTGCCCGACATTGTCACTTGAGACATGATTTTGGAGATTGTGAAGAAGATTTGGAGTCCCTCTGTTAAATCTTGCCATGTTTCTAGTGCTCCAACTAGAATTCAAGAGAAAAAAAATAGCTGACTTGACCACCAAGTAACTTTGCGGATACCTCCTTGAGGAACAACTTTGCCAAAGGTCATCAAAGGTGTTGAAACTTATGCTAGCAGCCACAGTTCTTAAGCCACAACCATAACTGCCTAGCAAAATTGCAGTAGAAGAAAATATGTTAGTGGATTCATTGTGGCATTTACAAAGACAGCAAGTTGTGGCCATTGAACAACCTCTAAGTTGAAGCATAGCATCCATTGGCATTTTATCTTGAATTACTCTCCAAACCATGCAACACTTGGATGGGGAATATCAGTGCACCAGATGTGCTTAGCCCAGACAATAGCAATAGACAGAGGGGACTTAAAAACAAAAGCATCTTTGAGAGTTAAATCCCCAAACCTTGAATTTGGCCAGATCAACCTATCCCGGTCATGACAGGAAGCCAACTGGTTTAACACCCTGCTAGAAAGAAATGGAAAGTTATTAAGCCATTCACTAGGAAGGGACCACTGACCATTATGCAAGTAGTCTGAAACAGAAGATTCAACATTAACGGAAAAATCTTCCAAGGCTGAGATGCAGGTTTCTTGGAGAAGAGGAGGTCCATATCAAAAGTCTCTCCAAAACTTTATAGATTTACCATTCTCAAGCAATCAAGTGGAGTAGAACATGAGTAGAGGGAACTCAAGTTTAATGCTAAGAAAAGTTGTGGTGTTTAATAGTTCCATAAGATCTGATAACTCTAGCCTTCAGAATAACAACCTAGGATTTTTACTATTCATCATTTCCCAGCCAATTTTTAAACAAGAGGCTTCATTAAGTCAAATCAGTTGCCCAAGCCACCATGAGTTTAGGCTTACAAACCTTTTTCCAAGCCACAATTACTGGCTTCTTTCCGCTAACATCTTCACTCCAATTGAAATTTCTAAAGGCCTTTTCAATAGATTTGAGCAGAGATATTGGACAAGGGTAGACAATCATAGAGTGAGTGATCATACTTTGAATCACTGTTTTGACCAAGAGTTCTGCCTGCCATGGACAACAGAGACCCTTTCCAAGCAGACATTTTAGAGATCATTGTGTCAACAATAGGTTGAAGATGGAAAGGCTTAACCTTCCCCTTAAAATTTTGGACACCTAAGTATTGAAAAAAAATACCTCCTTTGGTGAAACCGGTTAGCTCAACAATATGATTGAGCCTTCTATTGGAAATGGACCCGAAGTAGATGGTAGACTTTGATGAGCTAAATATTTGCCCAGAAGCTTGAGAATAGCAAGTGAACAACTGATTGAGAGTAGTGATGTTTGAGAGTCTCCCTTTACAAAAAATAAGAATGTCATCTGCAGAGAGTGTGAGAAGGAACTAAGACTTCTCTATTGCGAGACATCAGCTCTAGAGTGCCATCCAAACCCAACTTAGAGATACTTCTACTTAGAACTTCCTCAGCTAAGCAGAAAAGAAGGGGAGACAAGGGGTCACCTTGTCTAACTCCCTTGGTGCAGGTGAAATAACCATAAGAAAAACCATTAATGGCCATAGAAAGATGAGCAGAAGAGAGAATTATGTTAATCCATTGGCAAAATCTATGGCTGAAACCTAATTTGCTGAAACCAAATCTTAGTGTTGCCTCAGTGGCTGTCGTACCATTTCTTTTAATTCTTTTTAAATAGTCTATAGAATACTTACATAGCATTAAATATATTAATTCTTAAATCAATTTTATCATCTCTTTATCTGTCATTCACAAACATGCACTCATTGGCAAGCATATAAAATGTATTTTCTGCTTTCAATGTGAATTAAATATAAAGTATATAAAAAAAACACTATATTATAGTAATACATAAAAGAACATGTAAAATATGTGAAGGTAATAGTTCTGGTATGTAAAATATATAATCCACAATAAATATGAAAATAACAAATGTATTAGACATAATGTGAAAGGCTGCTGTACCTTTTTCTTAATAAAACTAGGCTAAGTTAGTACCTACGCATAGTTCCTGGATCAAAAGACAATTCATCTAGAAAAGAAATGAGATTCTTGTTTTCTGGACAAAACGTAGATTTATAATTTAGATATGAGATGCACACATGACATAGACTTCTGGTATTTGAACTGGGCAGCTGTCTGACTATTATTAATGATAGTATAGCCCAGTGAAAACAGATACACTGATGTGAAAATTTAGATTTTCTTATTTGAAAATTTAGAAGTTAAGGCAACTGAATTTAAGTTCATGAATTTGATTGAAGCTTAGCGGAGATTGAAAAGATATATGAAATTGCAATCAGTGGTTCAGAAGAAGAGAAGATATCTGCTGCTACCATTATGTGCGGGGCATCTCTAGTACGTGGATGGAATATACAGGTAATCCTAATAATTTAGCTACGGAAAGACAACAATTGTTTTCTTGCTTAGTTCTATTATAATTATAAATTAGAGGGAAAGTATATTAGAGTATATGCTATAGTTAGTGTAGAGTAAATAATGCTGCCAGGTCAGCATTTGTAACAGAGTTAGTTATGCTGAGCTGTCTTGAATCTGTTAGCTCTAGTTATGTATAAATAGCATTGAACTTGTATCCTTTCAGTTTGAGAAATATTCAATACAAATCAATTCTTCTCTAGAATGTTCCATTTCTTAGACTCTATTATGGTATCATGAGCTTGTGATCTATCACAGCCATGGCTTCTGTAACGCCCCGATTCTGAATTTCCCAATTTGTTTGAGTCCTTTTTGATTTATTTGGATGAATGTTATTTTAATTATGGAATTTATGTGTCGATACGTTTAATTGCTTTTTGTGCTATTTTACCGATTCAGAGAGTTTTCGGGGAAAATAGATTAAAGGGTATTTTAGACATCTAGTATTTTATATTAAGTGGGGTATTTTGTGAGAAAATATTTTAAGAGGTATTTTGAGGAGAAATAGAATAGAATAGAAAGAGGTATAAGTGAGAATTAGAGAGAAAAGAAATGAGATAGAAAGAAAAAGGAAGGAAAGAAGAAAAGAGAAGAGAAAGAGGAGAAATGGAGAAAAACCTGGAAGTTCATCAAGAAACAACTTCCAAGCTTCAATCAATCGGGTAAGGGTGTGAAACCTTATTATTATATCAATGTGTATAATCATGTATGATTTTTGTTGGATTGTTTTGGATTGATTGGTAGTTTCTACACTTTCCATTTTAGGTCGAAGTTGGTTTAATCGATAGAAATCGTTGTTTAACGGTTAGAATCGTGATTAGATGACGTAGATTAGTCGATATATGTTAGAATAAGGCTAC